ATAAGTAAAACCAAAAGCTTCTTCATAATTTAATGCTTCATGACCAAAACTTTTAACAATGTTTTCAGGAGTGAATTCATCACTAAAAACTACTCTTCCAATTTCAATTCCATTCTTTTCTGGATAACTTACTCAGCCATTGTTAGGTCAAGTAAATCTTTCCAAGGTTCTTAAACTTGTTCCAGTATATTCTGAACTTTCAGTAAGGCTGTGAACAGCATATCAAGTTCTTAACTTAAAGTTTTCTTCTTTTTCAGCCAATTGTTTCTTCAATAATTCTATTTCATTTATTAGTGTTTTGTTTGCTTGTTGTTGTTTGTTTATAATGTTTACCATGTTTGTTCTTTTTTTATATATTCTTTTAATATACTTGTATCCTTTTTATAAGGGTGTATTAAGTATATAAATTATTTTAGTACTTTTTTATTTTAAAGCTAACAATATTTGTCAAAAAGATTAAACTTATTAAACTTAATGACAGTAAGGGGACAAATTAACAAGTGTGATAAAGTAATAAAGGTGTTTTTGTTCTAAATATTTTATTTGTTGCCAGTATAGAGTGGTCTTGGGCAAGTAATATCTTTGTATTCATCTTTCACAAATGGGCGAATATTCTGGTAAAGATATTCTTGCCTTTTGTAATCCAAAGGTGGTGGTGTTAATACTAAAATGGATAAAGTTCTAATTTCTTCAAAGATATCTGCTTTCTTGGTTTTCAATAAATTGAATTCAGTAAAAGGTCCATTAGCAACTTCTTGAACTTTTACTATACCAAGATTAGATGTTTTAAAAAGAAAATGTTGATATTTCTGTATACTTGGTAATTTCTTAAAATAAATTCCCAAAATAGCTTTAATATCTAAATATTGAAAACCTTTTCCTGCCTTGTAGCATTGAGCTTTATTCAATCCTGCTGGACTGGATCTTTTTACTACATTAACCACATGACCCAGACAATCTACTCTTGTTTTCCTATAAAGTTTTTTAATCAAGCCAAAACTACCATCACATTTGAATTTGGTGCGTCCTGGAACCATGAAATTTAGTTCAATGCTTTCATAATAACCACAAATTACTAAATATAAATAGAACCAAACTGTTACATTATTTTATTTTGTCCACCAGCATTATCACAGGTGATCTTTAAATGCTTTTCACCTTTGTTCAATTTCTTAATTCCATCAAAAATCATACTAAGAGTACCATTGGGTCCTTTTCCTATAGCTTCATCTTCATTAAGAACATAATTAATTTGTTCCCTTACTGCTTCATCTTGAATACCAAATAAATGAACTTTACATGGACTAAGATAATAGATTTTACTTACTTGTTGATCTAAATGTGGCACATGAACATTTTGGGCTCAATCATAACTATAATGAGCAGTGGCATCAATACTGCAATATTGTGTTCTACTCTTTGAATAATTTTGATTAACTAATTTTCTTTGTTCTTCTGCTAATTTAGTATTTTTATTATAATAATTTCTTTCTAATTTGGCTTTAGACAGATGTTCTTTAAATCTTTTAAGCAAATCTTTAGCTTCTTCCTCTTGGTGAGCATTGTAATGTAAACCATCTCTAAAATGTTGACAAGTATCACACAAGTCAGTTCTTGGACTCATAATTTGAATTTCTGGTATCAATTGATGTCACAGCTTCCTGAAGGCATCATATTTTAAGGATTTCAATTTGTTATCTTCTTCCAGACCAGCTAAAAAATCTCTATGGACTGATTTATAACTCATTTCAGCTGGTAAGAATGTAATTGATTGAGTTATTCTATTGATGCTTCTTCCTGGACTTGGTAACCCATGGACTTCTGCATAATTTTCTAGAAAATTCTTTACCACTTCAGCAACATTTTTATCAATTACCATTTTAGTTTTCCATTGAGGCATCCTTTTAATATTACCATGAACTCTTGCTAGAAGACCATTGTTTATTAGATGATTTCTAATATTTTCAAAATAAGTTCTACCAATTCCTAACATATTGAGATAAGTTTCTTGACAAAGTAGTGTATTGTGATCTCAGTGGTAGAAAGTTCTTTTATTAGATCTATTTTTCTTTTTAAGGCGTCTGCTGGTGCTTATTGATCCACCATCCATTGCTTTAATCTGTGCCATTAAAAATATGTCTTGTTCTGGTTTAGAAAGAGCTTGAAAGGATTCCCTTAATTCTGCAAATTCTTCCTTAGGAATTCTTGAAGAACAACCACAATTACATCCTTTTTCTAGAAAATCAATGGCTTTTTGATATTCATTAGAACCATTATATTTATTATTATTTTTCATATACTTATATATATAAATTTTGTGTTCACTTTGTAGGTTTTCAAAAAATCAGGGGCTTGCAGAGAAGCCTTGGGAGAACAAAAAAAATAAAGTAGGAATATAAGATTGGCTATAGATAGAGCATGGGCAATAAGGCAACTATAAATTCACTATGATAAATGAACTTCCACACTTGCATTTTGCATCAAATAAGACAAATATCATGGGTTAACATCAAAATCCTTTGTGCACTGATACTTATCAGTAAATATTCTGATATGTGCAAATTAAAATTGAAAGCAGTTTTGGACACTAATGTGAAGTAAATTGGACACCTTTCCATGAAGATTACTTAATACAATATTTATTATAATTATCTTTGTGTTGTATTATTTTATATATAACAAAATATAAATTTATAATAATTAGTATTAAATTACACTAGTTTTAACTGCAGAAAGCATCAGATCAATTTCAACATTTAACACAACCAATAATTATCCAATGTATCTACAACTATATTACTTGCAATATCAATATCTTATCATTTGGTTAATATGTAAAGTACATTTTATGAATTTATATTACTGTATCAAGAGATTTACCATATAGTCATCATGGTCCTGTTTAATCTGACACCCAGAGTGGGCATCATAATGCCTTGTAATTTTGGGATTAAGATATGAGGGATATATTGTTGTTGGGTGATCAATCCTACCAGCCCAATCATAATCAACAATTTTAATGTCTACCTGAACACCATCATTATCGTCTTTCTTTTTTGTTTGATAGTGGATGTTTAGATCTCTCAAATCACCATGTAAAAATCCTGCACCATGCATCTTTCCAACAGCTTCTTTAAAGGCACTTTTTACTTCTGTAGGTACATGTAGAGACAAATGTTCATAATTATCATCTAAATTTCCATCACAACCATAAGCCATCTTCCTGAAATATTCTGATAACCAAAAAGGCGAGGAGCAATACCTAAATCTACACAGGCCTTGTGCACATCTATCACATATTGTTCTGTAAACTTTACAAGTAATTGTTTTGGCACATTGTTATTGCTTTTCTGCTCAACAAGAAACAGTAATTTGTCTTTGTAGAGTTGTTTGAGGTAACAAAATTGAATACTTGTTCTATTTGAAATATGGGTGAATGAGTTAATGTATGGGAACTCCAATTGTGAAGGAAGAATTTTAGGGGGATCCATGTAATAATAATCCAATGCATCTAATGCTTTTTTAAAAGCACAGAATGTCTGAGCTAAGTGATCCATAAATTTTTGATAGTGGTGAAGGTAGAAAAGTGGAAGAAGTGGTGTTAGAGGATCACATAGAAATTTGTCACCAGAAAATATGATGGCTGCAATACCAACATATGGGCCTAAGAAAAGAAAAAAGGATTTAGAAATAGCTGAACACAAAGAAATTATACAGCAGATATTAGATTCTAACCTGCAAGATACAATAAGAGACATGGTAAATGGATTTCATTTGCAGTTAGTGTTCCATGTCGCAATCCAAAAAAGGAAACAAAATGGTCATAAAGGTGGTTGCAACCAGTGGTTGCAATCATTTTTATATGATGCAAAGGTGGTAGCAACCATCATCAAAAGTTGCAGCTGGTATCCTTATTTGCAGTAGAAACTGGAAGGGTCGAAACATGCTTCACATAGTATATACCAGCTTGGATATAAGGACAGGAGTGTCCTATCCCCAATTCCGGCTTCACTTCTATTGTGCTTGTCATTTACATTCCATTTTTTCCAAAGGAAGAGCCATCTGTTGTTATCCTTGTATTTGTATATTGATTAAGGCTAACCTTGTAATGTTTTCGATATAGTATCTTGAATGCATCTCTTCTTTCATTTTCATTAGTAAATACATTTGACATAGATTCAGTTGCTTCTAGGACAAAGGCGCAGTCAACATCATTTGGTGTTATGGTTTCACAGTCCTCAAGGAAGATTCCGAAGATAGGATGCTGAAGAATGACAGGATTCCCAGAGATATTAGCTGGGCGATGATTGAAATAAATAGAGCCACTGTTTTGTTCCTTTATCCATTCTTTTGGTTTTGCAAGTTCACTTGGAGGGTCTGAATCTTTTATTCTCTTGAAAAGTGCTTTTGTATTAATATTTATATCTTCATCGTTCTTACGTTTGAGCCCAGTCCCTGTAATAACTATTGCAAGATAAACAAATAAATAAACGAAATGAAATAAATGGAAAATAATTTTTTGTATATTGGTGATTCGCCTATGAATCAGTGAATGATTGACATTTTTTATAATAACTAGAACTAAAATATAGATCTTTAATTTTATCCTTTTCAAGACTTTTTAGTTTTCTCTTCAACTCCTTTACCTCTAATTCTAATTCTTGTGCCTTCTTCTTCCAACTCTAAAGAGGATAATTGTTTGTGCAGAGAATAATTATATATAAAAATTATTTTATGTTGAATTAGTGTTTACAATATTGAATACTAAAATAATATTTTATTGAAATAAATACCATATTATTTTCTTTATTTTCATGTTGTTTTTGGTGTTGTTGTTGTTGCTTAATGTTTTTTTCTTTAATTCTCCGATTATCACCTTCCAAATGGCTCAATTTATTCAACTTTAAACAATTATCTCTATATCTAGATGAAGTCCTCCCATTATCATCTGAAAAACATTCTCGTAACCTTAAATCTTCATTACCACTATTACTATTACTACTATTAGTACTTAGTATACGATCTTCTCCTTTTTTTTTCTTCTTCTAATCGAATCAATACTAAGATCAGAGTATAATTCACTAATAAAAAAAAGTTTATTCTTTAGGCATTATTTTTATAAAAAACTAGAGTGACGACGAGCAGCGGGCGATAACCCACCACCACTACCCTTAAAACACTTACCCACGTTCGGCTCCCAGTTCATTCGTTCTGCTTCTTTTTTTCGACTCTTTCTTTGGTGGCATTTTAAAAGAAAAAAATAAAAAGAAGTTTGTGAATGATCGACGCGTACACATTAATTATTTATCCTATTGGTTTTTTTTTGGTAGGACAGACGCGAATTGGTTTTTATTTTTTATTTTTTGACAGAGTCCAAGGTGACAAAACGTGAGTGTTGTTGTTTGGTTTGGTTTAGTTTGGGTCTCCTAAAGAAAACGTGTTAATAACTAACCAGAGGCACTATTTTTTATTTGTATTGATATGTATGAGGTGTCTTTTAATTGAATCAAAACGCGGAACAGATCTTGCTGGGTAATTACAAGATTTTCATTGATAATATTTTGCTTTGCGTAATCGTAATGATAATATTATTAATATATAATTACAAGAAGATGTCAAGGCAGCATTGACTGTTGAAAAAGAAACATTTCGAAATGCGACATTTGATTATCGGAAATTTACAGATGTTGAAGCACGCACGCTACCTTGAACACATTACAGTCATTCTCACACATTCCTCGTCGTGTTCACAAGGCTAATCTGACCAGCTCCGTCCTATGGATATAATGATGCAACTGAATTCCAGGGGGTTGGCGCATGGCCCTGGAGTTTACCGAGACTGCATCAATCGTCAATGACGCTTTCACTAATCTTCCCAGACCAGAGATGGCTGCTGGCATGCTAGCCGAAAAGTTGCCTGCAATGATCCTACCTCTAGGGCAAGGATGGCACTGTGACCAAGTTGTAACTCTGCTGATGAATATTAAGAGAATCTGCAACTTGTTTCAAGCACAGGAGGTCACAATTCAGAACAGGGTTGGTGGCCCTGAAATTGCATTTTGCTCTGTACTTGGTAATTTCTTAAAATAAATTCCCAAAATAGCTTTAATATCTAAATATTGAAAACCTTTTCCACCTTCATAACACTGAGTTTTATTTAATCCAGTTGGACTAGACTTTTTTACCACCTCAACCACATGGTCCAGACAATCTACTCTTGTTCTTCTATAAAGTTTTTTAATCATCCCAAAATTACCATCACATTTGAATTTGGTATGTCCAGGAATCATGAAATTCAATTCAATGCTTTCATAATAACCACAAATTACCAAATGTAAATAAAATCAAATAGTTGTATTATTTTTATTTTGTCCACCAGCATTAAGTAATCTTTAAATGCTTTTCACCTTTATTTTATTTCTTAATTCCATCAAAGATCAAACTAAGAGTTCCATTAGGTCCTTTTCCTATAGTTTCATTTTCATTAAGAACA